AGGCATTAAGCACCTCAGCATTTTCCATATCGGTGGTCACAGTGCTTCCCTCTGCATCCGACAAAGGATGTCGGTTTCTAAGGCGCAAAGTTTATGAACATCGGTTTTCAGTGGCTTAGCATTGCCAAGTTCAGGGTGTTTAGCAGGATACTTCCTGGTTTGCGTCTTGCCTGAGGCTAAACATTTTGATGTCTTTGAGGCTCACCTTGTCCCATCTGTTCCCAGAAGTGAAGCTGGAGCGAAGAAGGGATTGGCTTACCTGTTCTAAAAAGACTCTGATGTGTGTTGGGTTTTGTTTCAGGATTTGTCTGGGCCTGAAATCTTTATTTTGAGAAGGAGCCTCTTGCTCTCATCATGCTGATCAGTTTGTACTTAGGCTCTGAGAAGGCCCAATTTGTACGTGTCCTCTTACAACTTGCCTGGTAAAATCTCTGAGGATTTTGGTGCTGCATGTTCATGAGACGTACCTGTATCAGGACTGCGTGTAACAGTTGTGCAGAACAACTAAGCATGTTAATTCAGGATTTGGATGTGTGTTTCCCCTAACAGCACAGTATCTGTTTTAGTGCGTGTGCTCTTCCTTTGGAGGAAAGTTGGGCTTGTAAGAGAGCAGGCAAACTTTGGCCCGTACACCAGTCCCGGCATAGAGGGTACTTGGGAGATGAGCTGAAACAAGACCTGTTGCATGGTAAAGGAGGGTGATTTCAGTAGAACGTGGTTCTGAGACATAAATTCTTTTCCTGTGTTGCCCACAAACATCCTGGGCAGCATTGGGTAGTTAGCTTAAACTACACTCTCATGGGGGATCATTGCCTGCTTTGACTGTCAGTTTTTGTACCCATCCTAAAAGTCTCTGAAGATGCAAAAAGTTTCTGTGGCTGCACTTACTAAATGAGAGCTGTAGTTTACACATAGGATACCCCATATGAAGCTAGAAAGCTCCGAGAAGAGTGCCAAGAAAACATTGGTCTTGGGCACTTCTAATGGGACACACAAAATCACCTTAAATTTCTTTCAGGACCAGAGGGTTCTGGTAATATGTGGAAGATATCATCTCCTCATACCATATATGTGTTGTGAAATATTTGGATGATGTTAATGATCAACACTGGAAAAACTTAGGAACAACTCTGTATTTGAAGGTGTTCTCATAATTAGATTATTCCCATGTACATGTTTTGGGCAGTTAATTATATTTATATAATAAAAAACTATTTTGTAAAATCATACAAGTAGCACTGTCTTGTTAGCTTCTAGTTGGAAGTTGAAATTTATACTGGGTTCAGAGGTTCAGAAGAGTATGGAGCTGGCTTGTCCCCAACACTTACAGGAACGACGTGATAAAATACAGTTGAAATACTTCATTTTTTCTGCTGGTTTACCCCCAGGGCCATTTGGTCTATAAGCAAGGTCTGAGGATATGTAGCAGGACTAGATTTTCAGTGCTTAATTCTTAGTATTGGCAGAGGCAGTTGGGATAATTCTGTGCTGTGATCTGATCCTGCAGTAGAATCATGGTCATTATGTACTGCATGGATGTGTTAGTGCTTACAATAATTATTCATGATGAAGCTAATTTGTATAATGGAATTAATAATTTTTTTTGTCTCAATTTTTTCCGTAAGCGTATTGAGAGAAGAAATGTCTCACTTAAATTCAATTCCCCTTTGCTCTCTAATCTTTCTGTAATAATTATTATGGGTGAGGAAAAGGAATCCAGCTGCAGAGTGACATAGTAGCTGCCTTACAAATTTTACACTTTGTAAATGCTACTTTGAAATAATTTGTGTGATTTGTAACATTAAATACATGTTCAAATGTTTGCAGAATTAGAGTTTTAATAATGAAGTAGAAAGATAAATGTAAGTTTGAGCCCAAATATGTCTTAATTAGATAGAGGGGAAGTTACAGCTTTAAGTCATAGTTTAAAAACACAATAAAACTTTGCTATTATGCCACAGAGATGCATTTTTATAGATACATATTTATATAAATACATGAAAGTGCATATATAAGTATGCATCTAATATATATATGGATACTATCTAAATAACAGTAAATAATTGACTATTTAAATATTTCTTCACTTTTATTTGTAGCATGTGAGAAAATGGATATAACAGGATATTGCAGGGATCTAATAAAGATACTTGACCAAGCTGAAAGCATGAGTGAAAAACTAACCCCACTGAAATTAATCGATGCGTGGTCTGGGAAAGGCGTTTCAAAATTCAGGGTGGCTGAAGTTACTCCACCAAAACACCCTCGAGAGGAGCTGGAGAGAATTGTTGCTCATTTACTGCTGCAGCAGTATCTCAGGTATGTAAGATGACTATTTTTTCCTTTTTTAACATCTAGTAGCCACTCTTTTCACTTTTATGTTACTTCTGTATGTTATTAATAAATACACTTTGTGGTCTCTGTTTTAGCCTTCGTTTCAGATGCATTTAACGTGTTTTAAAACTACCTCAAAAGATTTCTATATTTCTGCTTAAAAATTTTAAAACACAAGTTGGAAATGCTGCATGTCATGCAATTTTAGAAAGATGAGTTCTTCTATGTTCAGGTTGAACCTTTAGATCTGCATCAGACTTCATTTTGGAGAAGTCTGCTGTTTGTACAGAGTCTCATTTACATTCCACGGGGCTGTCTAGGTGAAGTCTAAGTCAGGACAAGCTGGTTAATGTGGAAAATGGTGCTCAGAAATTTTAAGAAAGTGGAGTGAAAACAACGATGCTTCTTTTGTAACTTGTTGTATGGGCCGAAACAGGCAGGACACGGGAACAACCCCAAACCACGGCTGAAATGCAAACAGTAGATTTATTCTCTTTACCTGAGAATCTGAAGAATCTTTGCAGCAGCACCCGGATGAGGCAGAGAGGCAGCGATCACACGAGCAGCACGACAAGCAGCAGCGCAGGCATAAGGAGATCTCTCCTTGTTAGAAAGCATGTGGCATTTATCCCACTGCTGTGTTATGTTTTACTCGCTGCTCTGCCTGAGTTCCCAGGACTCGCGCAATAGCTTTGCAGGGCAGGAACGTGAGAGGTGCCCCCGCATCTCTCCCAGGCCTCTGGTATCTAAGTGCGGGTGTGCTGCTTGCTGAGCACACGAGGCCAAGCGGCAATCCAGTGTGATGTGTTTTCCAACACCTCAGGCTCAAGTCTCTTGAGTGTACGTGCAGTCTTCCTTGCCAATCTTCCCTTGTATCCCTACAGCTGTCCTGTCTGTCTGGTATGTGTTTTGTCTTTTCATATGTTTTTAGAAGTTCCAAGAACATGTACAAATCAAATATGTAATCCCTTTATTTTTGTCTTAGTATTTTTTGACATTTATTTGTACAACTGACTTTTTATACTCTTAAGAGGGTGAGCAGATGACTTCTTACATCTTTCTTGCCCTCATTTTCAAGTATATATTCCAACACATTGATGTTCATCAATGATTTGGGTGAGGGGATAGAGTGCACCCTTAGTAAGTTTGCAGATTACATGAAACTGTGTGGAATTTTCGATCTGCTTGAGGGTAGGGAGGCTCTACAGAGGGATCTAGATAGGCTGGATTGCTGGGCCAAGGCAAATTACATGAATTTCAATAGGGGGCAAATGCACTTTGGCCACAACAACCCCCAGCAGCGCTACAGGCTTGGGGAGGAGTGGCTGGAGAGCTGCCAGGCAGAGAGGGACCTGGGGGTGTTGATGGACAGCAGCTGAACATGAGCCAGCAGTGTGCCCAGGTGGCCAAGAAGGCCAACGGCATCCTGGCCTGTGTCAGGAATAGTGCTGTCAGCAGGAGCAGGGAGGTGATCGTGCCCCTGTACTTGGCTTTGGTGAGGCCTCACCTCGAGTACTGTGCCCAGTTTTGGGCCCCTCACTAGAAGAGGGACACTGAGGTGCTGGAGAAGGTACAGAGGTGGGCTACCAAGCTGGTAAAGGATTTGGAGCATGTGTTGTTGTTGTACATTGACATGTGTGTGTTTTGTATGTGTGTAAAGGTCAACAAACTGAGTTAAGTGCTGACCAGACGTGTTCTAAATTAACTGGCTATGCACTTGAAATAGATGAGCAGAGTCAAGCTGCTATTTGGAGCATCTATCAGAAAGGTTAATATGTTCAGTTTTACCCCTCTGTAGTCTAGCCTGTCTTTGTCTCCAGCTTTTCCTTATATTACTGATTTAATTTATGCAGGGAAGACTTCAGCTTCACGGCATTTGCTACAATATCTTACCTGAAGATAGGGCCAAAAGCAGGTCTCCTGGAAAACGAGGCACACGTCATAACTATAGAAGGGATGACAAACAAAAAAAGTGCTTACAAGGTATTTATATCTGTACTGACTTGGTATATAGACATCTTTTCCATTATAGTTTGTTTCGTATCTGTCAATATATTTTTCACAGTAATGCAATCAACAGAGTTTAAAATACACCTCGTAAGTATCTCCTGTCTTGTGTGGGAATGCTGGAAAAGAAGCAAAACAACGTTAGAATTTTAATAGGATTGTTTATAACTTACAGGACAGACTATCTCAATCTTCAAATTCAAAAAGAAGCAGAGAAAATGATCAGGCTATTTCAAAGACTGTCCAAGATTCAGTGGTGAAGAAGTCACAGAAACATAAACAGCCTAACTGTGGTTCTAACTTGAAAACAAAGAAGCTTAAGCTTCAGGCAGGTGGAGATGACCAACCAGTACTTCTCGACTGAGTTTCATGGACTACATTTAGGATCTAATCATGTTTGCTTCTCCATGGACAGTGCAGTGTGTAAGTTCACTTCTTGTTTTACTGTTTTGGTTATTTTATGTGCTTTTTTAAAAATAAAAAAAAAAACGAAGGAAACAAGTATCTTCAGAACTATCAAATCCAGAAGTAGTCTAGTAGTCAAGGGCAAAATTGCTTCATGTCAAAATAACTGCTGTATATCTTACAATACAGCAATGACTACAGAATGTAAATGGTTAACCATGTTGCCTTTTTAATCTTTTGAAAGTGTACAGTAACACTATGGCAGTCTCACAGGCTGGGAGGGACTTTGGGAAATTGCCTAGTCCAACCTCCTGTTCAAAGCAGATCCAGCTGTAACAGGGTGCTCAGGGCTGTGTCCAGTTAAGTTTTGGCAATCCCCATGGATGGCGATTCCACAACCCCTCTCACCACCTGTTACAGTTTTGACCACCTTCATGACCAAAGAAAGAAAAAGAATATTTCCTAGAGCTAATTGATATCTCCTATGTTGCAACTTGTCTGTTGCCTCTTGGGCCACGACTGGGGTGTTCTGAGAAGACTCTGACCCTGCTGCTGTTGTGCTCTTCCATTAGAGACTTGAAGACAACAGCAAGATCACAGCAGTCACACCCCTTTCCCCCGGCTTTTTTTTCCCTTAAGCTACTTTCTAAGCAGTCTAACCCCAGCCTGTACTGTTGTGCAGTGTTATTTCATTCCAGGTGCAGGACTTTGATTTTGCTTTTGAGATCCCCATCATCCTGTGTGTCCAGCCAGTGTAAATCCCTCTGAATAGCAGTCCTACCCTCCAGTGTATCAACCGTTCTCCTAACCTTGGTATCCTCTGCAGACCACCTGGAGCACACTCCATCCCTGTACGTAGACTGTAAGTGAAATAAATAGTGCTGGCCATGGTATTGATCTGTGAACGTTGCTACTAGTAGATGGCCACCAGTTGGACTTCGTACCATGGATCCCAACTCTTCAAACCAGGAAGTCCAAACAACTTTCTTACCTACCTAGTATGTTTATCCAGTCTGTATCTTACTGACATATTTACCTCTAAGGGATTTATAGATCACATCGAAAACCTTGCTAAAGTTGAGGTTTGTGTTATCCATTGCTACCCCCTAATTCACGCAGGCAGACATCACAGTCAGTCTGGTTGATCCGGTATGCTTTGCTTCTGACAGATCTAGCTGGCTGCTCCCGATCACCTCCACGTGTCTGAAAATGTCTTTGGGGGTATTTACTTTTTAAGTTTTCTGAGGTGAAGCTGCCTGGCATGTAATTTCATAGATCCTCCTTGTCAAAGATGGGTGAGATTTTGCCTTTTCCCAGTTGTCAGGAACCTCCCTCAGTCTCCCAAGTCCTTTCAGAAATGTTAGCACTCTTGCACTGACCTCCCCTGGCTTCCTGTGTCCCTCAGTGTAGCCCATCCAGTCTTGAGTACAGACTGTCCTCAGGCTTGGGCACCTGGGAGGTCTGAGGGAAAACCTTACCAGTGAAAAGGAGGCAAAAAGCGTGAGTACCTCAGTCTTTTCCATCTCCTGTATCACTACCTCTCTAAGCAGTGGGACCATACTTCCTTACCCTTCCTTTTGCCACTAAGGTACTTAAGAGAAGCTCTTCTTACTGCTTCTTACGTTTTTTGCTAGTTCCCTCTCCAGCTGAGCTCTTACATTCCTCTCTCCCTCCCTCTGTGCTCAGACAGTGTCTGTTCTGGATATCTTCTACCTTCTGCCTCCTTTTTGTGTTTGAGCCAGCTGAGGATTGCTCTGTTCACCCATGCTGGCCTTCTGCCATGCTTGCTTAACCTTCTGCACTTAGGAATAGACTAATTGCATTTTGAGGAGATTGTGGTTTGGAAATCAAGCAGCTCTTCTGACCCCTTTTACCTTCCAGGGCAGTCTGCCTGGGATCCTGACAAGCAGATCCTTGAGCAACCTGAAATCTGCTCTCCTGAGGTCCAGGGTAGGGTTTCTACTATGTTTTCCTCACTTCTTTGTTGAGTTTAAAACTCAAACCATACAGTCACTGAGCAGCATTCTGGGATCAGGGCACCTAGTAAGAAATGAACATGTTGATGTCTCAAGTCAGGTTGGCAGTGAGGGCCTCTGTCCCCCACAGGAGGGATTCTCATCCTGCTTTTCTTCATTGTGTGAACACTTGACTCAGGCTCAGCCGGCATCAGTGCATCCTTTGGTGGAGTTCATCTTCATCTTTCTTGGGGCACTGCAGCTACTCTGCAGCATTAGAGCTGCAGGTGGAAAAGGAGCCCTTTTTGTGTTGCTGGAAGCAAAAGGTTTACAGCCTTCCCTCATGTGGGAGCCTCCATCCACTGCTCCTGGGAGGGTAGTCTTAAGGGTTCCTCTTCTTTGCAGCACAGGACTTGAGTGGTCCTTAGCTCTGCATTATCTCTGTGAAGACCCTGTCACCTCCTGTTCCTCCCAACTGCTACACAGGTGACTCACCTCCTTCACCCAGCAGCTGTGCACTGCAACAGACCACAGCTCCTGCTGGTGAGGCTGTTGTCACCAGCCCCAGGGAGAGGGACACCAGGTGTCCAGAGACTTGGGCTGCTGCAGCAGCCTTCCTCTGGAGCCTTGTGCAGGCCAAAGCCTTGGCTGTGCCAGTAGCAGTTGCTCCAGCCCACAGGGACATCACCATTGGTGCAGTTCTAAGCAGAGGGATGCGGCCCATTTCTGCAGTGCTTACACCTCCTCTGGCCTACTGGAGTGTATTTTACTTCAGCAGGGCATGGTTACATCACTTTTCACTTGTGGAGATTTTTGTGAAAGATTTTATGTATTTATCCCTTTAAAGAGCAACCTGTCTCTTTTGACTCACCTATGATTCCTTTCATGTAGTGTCTTGGTTCTGTCAAGGAAAGAAAGACAGTGCTTCCTGCTGCAAATATTCTTACAAAGTGGTGGCTGATGGCAGCTAAATGCCTGTCTGGGTGAACACTGAGTCTGTTTCTCTGTAATACACAGGTTCAATGCAAGCTTAGTGAAAATCATAATAGTTGAGAGAAGATGGTAAAAATCATGCAGGATTACAAAGTAAGAACACAACAGAAGATGGAAGCTGTCTTTAAGACGTTTCACAAGTAATGGGAATTTGATAATTCAGAAATTGTGGTAGGATTTTAATTCTGAGACTTGGAATTAGAATGAAAATGATACTTTTTTTTTCCTTTTATTTCGTAGAAAATGAGAAAAATATATATATTCAAAGTTGAACTCTTGTCAGGACTTGAGATTGAACAGGGGAAGACCTTAATGTACTAGGTGCAAAGGGATAGGTAAAAAGAACAAGGACAAGAGGAAATGGCTTCAAGTTACACCAGTGGAGGTTTAGGTTAGACGTTAGGAAAAACTTCTACACTGGAAGGGAAAGACTGGAACAGGCTGCCCTGGGATGTATTTAAAAGCCATCTAGATGTGGTGCTCAGGGACATAGCTTAGAAATGGACCTGGGAGAGCTGGATAAAGGTTAGACTTGATGGTTTTGAAGGTCTTTTCCAACCACAATGATTTTACAATTCTATGCTAAGAATGTTTGAGCTACTACCCTGCTGTGTTTGGAAAAACACAAGCTGCTGCAGAAAGCCTGGTGTTTGGTAAGCTGCCAGGCCTTTTGCTGCTGCTTGGTGCCTTTGGTTCCACTTGCGTTGGTCAGAATTGGGAGCAGGAGTAGCTGGGGTGGGGGAAAAGCCCTGAAAAGCAGCTCTGTTCACACTTCCTGAGCAGTGACAACTGCTGGGCTTTCATTTTGTTCATGCTTAACCTTTAAGCAGTGTTTAATCTCAGAAATGCAGATGTTGTGGTCATGCTACTTATTAAAAAGTAGACTTGACACTCTTTTTCCAAACAAGGAGCAAACCATGTGGTTTAGCCCTGCTCCACGTTCAGACAACGCAGAACATGGAGCAGCCCAGCTGGGAAGAGACCTTGCAAGATCTGATCCGACCTCTTGTGGCAAAAGAAGCTTAGATGAAATTATCAGCACCTTGTCCAGTTGTCTTGATAACCTCCCATGACGAGGACTCCACTGTTGCCCTGCAGAGGTTGTGCCAGTGGTTGGTTCTCCTCACTGTGGAACAACTTTCTTAAATTGAAATAAGCCTGAAGACGTGCCTGAAATGTTCAGAACAGCTGATGTTTTTCAGAACAGGCAAGTGTTTGGGTGTATTAAAAGCTTCTTTTGCAATGGAGGGCTTAATATAAGCTTTCTTCCATTCCTTCTTTTCCCAGTCAAGAAGTACTTATGGTTACATAATCAGTATCCTCTGAAATTAGTTATTTAAAGTGCGTCAACATTGTTTTATTTGCTCAGTCCTACCTACTGCAACATGTAATTTTTCTTTCCATGCCTAAGCTGACCTGTAAGGACAGCACATCCTACTAGCTGAACTGCAGGTGTTTGATGCCAAGGGTCACTGAAGAAAATTCTTCAGCTACAGAATTTTTTTCTGCCTTCCATTTTAGCAGGGACAATATTTAACTGTATGTGAAATAGAAATATATACTTGTTGACTTCCTTTGATAAGCATCAGTGTTTCCAGTAACAAGTAACTGTGCTGCCAGAGTGGCAGCTACTGCTGACTTCAGGCATTGCTTAGGCACACACAAGGTGGAATGCTACATTAGATTTATTCTTCTTCTTTTTAATATCTTAGTGATCACTGGCTGCTAAGGCAACTTCAAACTCATAATAATTGTAAGTTCTGGTAGGTTTCATACTGGATTCGCCCCGCAGATATTCAGATGTATACCAACTTAAATATAAAACAAAAATGATTAAGAACGTGGTCACCTTTATTTTCCTGGTAGAATCTTATCAGTGACTAAAGCTTATTAGCATTTCACCCACTGTTTAACTGAAACCTTTGCTAGAAGTGGAATTTATTAATTTAATTGAAGTCACTCTCTTAAAAAATAATGAAGAGTGACTTTCTGGGAGAAGTCTCAGTATGTACTGCCAACTTTGTATTTAGTGAAGTAGACCAAACTCCTGTGTAGCAATTGTAGAACAAACCCAGAAACTGGTATGAAACCGGACGGCACTGTGGAATACAGAGAGGATGCTACGGAATAGCTTCAAGTGTCAGGCTTTATCACCTAGGCACTCCATTATGCCTAGCAAATCAAAAAGAAATTACTTTTCTGAAGCAACCCTGTACCTATACATCAGTATTATTCAAGTCCAACTTAACAGGAGATATTTTAATAGTAGGTATTTTGGCACTAGTTACCACAAGTCAAATTGGAGTTCAGTACCTGCAAAAATAAATTCCTTCCTGGAACCAGTACACATTTACTTCAGAAATAGAATTATGGGAAAGAAAAAAAAAATAACAAAAGGAGAGAGGGCAAGATGGATGCTTTATAAGTGCAACCCACACTCCAGGTAGGGAGAGCTCAGTGCCCTGAGCCCTACAGCTGCCCTCTGTTAATGTGAACCAGCTGGCAAGAGATTGGACCATTAGCTAGCACTGGAGCTCAGGGTGCCAGGGGTCTACCACCCTGCACCTAAGCAAGTGGGTTTAGGAAGCAGGGGCTTTCCCACACCACCCAAGTCTGGGGGCAGCTTTTATTTTCTTTTAAAAAGTAATGGCCACCTCACATTCAGCTGAGTGCAGTGTTACCTCAACAGCACAGTGATGCCCACTTTGTAAGACTCTTCTCAAGTGCTAGATGAAAATTCTGCCAACACTAAACCAGTTGCTTTTGTTGCTGCATTTCTACACAGATTAATTCAATTTGCTGGTCAGTATTTTGACAAGATCAACACAGAATCTTAACAAGGAATTGCATCTATCCCTCATTTCTCCTAATCCTAAAAAAAAAAAGTTTTTAAGACTTACTACCCAGTGTCAAAACTTTATACAAAATGGAAACAGGGTTTTGTTCAATCAAAATAATCTTCTATGTCAATATCTGGATTCAGGAGATCTTCACCATAGGCTGAAAGATCCATCTGATTTAAAATTAAGTTCTCAAAGGTTTCTTCCAAGTCTGTTTCACCGATAAGCACAGCTCCCATCATTCGGCCATTCTGCATCACTGCTTTAACATAATCTTGTCCCTTGGTACATCTCAGCAGCAGTTCATGGTCTGAACTCAAACCTTGAGCATTGTATTTTCCCAAAACCACCACCTACCAGAAAGAAAAAGAAAAACCACCCATAAGAACATTGTAGCAGCTTTTAGTATTTCTACTGGTAAGTTCTAAGCTTCCAAAAACTGATGTATTTGGCACTGAGGAACCTTGCCCCTTCATTAGCTTACAAACCCAAGATAGAATTCAAAATCTTCACCTTGAAATACCAAACACAAAACCCAACGATGAGCCAGTTATCATGCTGAACTGTGCTGAATTTATCCATGAACAGAAACTTCATGAAATGGAATATATATAGAGATGCAAAGTAGATGAGGTGTCGTTCATCAATTAAAATCTGTAATATCTCTGTAAAGGTCTTTGCCCTCTTCAGTTTCAGCATTTGAGGTTAGTATGAATGGAGAAAAAGCTAAACTGAGATTAATTATTATATAGAGAAAAAAACTGTTTTGTCAAAGCATCTGCTCGGTGTGAGCAATTGCATTTAAGTAAACAGTATGTGTTACGCGGCGGTTTAAAGCTGTTAGACTGTATTTACCTTACCTTGTAATTGAAAAATTTTGTAACATGAGCAAATAGTTCAAAGCAGAAATCTAGATCGATAGATTCTCCTGAAGTGTCTGCTGCCATGCATTTTGCTGCATACCACCCCATCTGCCTAGCTTGAGTCCACAGTCTCATCTAAAAAAAATAAAAAGATTTAAAAATACAGATACATGTCACTGTGCAAAGACTGACAGCCACTGTTCCCACCGATGCATGCTTTATATTTTCATTACGCTCAGAAAGCCAGAACAGCCTGGCTTTCAGCCACATGGATAAAATTATCTCTCCTCAACAGACCCAGGATTATCTAGTTGTTTGCTTTATTCTGCTTCAATTAAACTTTCTTTTCTCCCATCTGTGTAATAGCATGTAATTTATTTTGTAAATCAGGCAGCTGCTGAGTGTGCAATCGTGTGATTTGATTTACCTGATGCCACACTGGACTGGGTTCCCATGATGCTGTGCAGATATCTCCGGCTGCATAGATATCCGGCAGGGATGTGTGCATGTGTTTATCTACTTTAAGGCCTCCATCTTCACTGACAGCAAACTAAAGTATTTGCACAGATCAGAAATAAGAAAAATAATTATTTAAGCTAAGTAATTCAGCTTCATCCACACTAAGCAGTCACCTCATTTGTTACTTTTTAAAGGCACCATCTTAAAAATTCAGTAAATTCAATTTTCAGCTTAATCAAAACATCTGAAGATATAAAATGTATGAATAAATCCTACAAGGACCCAGCAATATGTTCTTCTGAATGTCATGCAGCAACAGAGAAAAAGGTTGTTCAGTGTAAACAACTGATGGCTATTCATTCTCCCAGCTAATCTGGCTCAGGTAAGATCAATAACCACAGAAGACAGATGCTGCTCAAACCTCACAATCTCAAGACTCCGTCTTTAAGGGAAGAAAACAGCTGCCCTGAAGACTGCCCTAATGAAGAATTTTTCTCAACTGTCTACATATTATGTTTGCGACATTATAATGCAGCCGTCCCCCGCATAATTTTTCCTGAAGCTTCTCAAACCTAGAACTCTTCAAATACGCAAACACAAAATCAGCCTACAAAAGCACAACTTCCTGGCAATCTCTGCATTCTTTTCTCACTAAGTTTAAGAACAGATCAACATTGTGTTTTACAATGGCCTTCACATACTATTTAAAGTATCTCAAACTCTATGTCTTAAAAAAAAGAGCTCAGAACAGCATTACATACTGAATAAAACTATTTCAACACAGGACTATCCAGGGTGGTGGGACCTCTGTGGTAAGATACAAAGCATTAAGCATCATTACTAGAACACAGGACAGGTTTTTAAAATATTATTACTGATACTTGGGCAGGGAAGTAACAGAGCTTGTTGAAAATTTCAAATGACCCTACAGATGTTACAGGGACATCTAGTCTTAAGAGTTCATTTTGTATTTTTGCCAGAAAACAGTACTGCAAATACCTAATTACTAATCTAACACTGTAGCTTAGGCCTTGAAATATTTCGTGGCTCAACATCAGAGGTATGTTTCCATAATTTTCTTCTGCTTTATTCAGAGGACAGCAGTTTACTTCGTAATCAGAATGAACCACAAAACACCAAATACCCTAATGCACCAGAGTTTCACCTAGGAAAGAGTTAATTCATTTTCTTCATAGTAGCTTGCATGGACCTGTGTTTGAGATTTTTGATGAAAACTGTGCTGATGCACAGGGATGTTGCAGTTGTCACTGAGCAGTGCCCACGCAGAGGCAAGGCCTCTTCTGTTTCTCGCCCCAGCCCAGCACACCAAGGCTGGGGGTGCACAAGAAGCTGGGAGGTGAAACAGCCGCCCCAGCCGATTCCACCTGACCAAAGCAATACCCCAAACGACAAGATGTGCTCAGCAAAAAAAGCTTGGGGAAACAAGAGGAAAAGGGGGTGCTTCCTAATTACCATGTTTGTCCCCCCAAGTAACGGTTACACCTGTAAGCCCTGCTTTCCTGGAAATGGTGAAACATCTTGCTGATGGGAAATAGTGAATTAATTCCTTACTTTGTTCTGTTTGCATGCACAGCTTTTGCTTCGTCTAAACTGTCTTTATCTCAGCCCATGAGCTTTCTCACTTTTAAACCTGCCGACTCTCTTCCCCCCCGTCCCCCTGTGGAGAGTAAGCGAGCTGCTCTGTGGGTGGGGTGGGGCTGGGGATAAACCAGACACCTGGTGTGGAGACAGAATGATCTCAAGGCCTGAAAATTCACACAGCTGCTATGAACTCTGTTATCACCACCCACGTTTGGAGGCTGATTCCAAGTATGGCTTCTCTCCATGAATACAAGCACCTTTGTAGCCCTGTTTCCCAGATGAAGAATATTGGAAATAGCTGCTTCCTTCCCAGGAGGAAATTTTAAGATTTGTAAGATAAGAATACAGGGCAGAATTAACACAAAAACTATTCTGAATTCTTGTCACGTTAAATGATTATACACATGTTCTTCCCTTTGTATAGGCTTCATGTTAACTGTACATTGTATACATACTCTGTGTCAGTACACAAGGAACAACATAAACTTGAATTTCGTTGGTGGTCTTGGCTTATTATGTTGGATATTTCCAATTTCAACATACCTGTCTTATTTTGAAAGGCTGTACAACACGCAAAACTTTTAACAATCAGTGTTTCATGTCAGAATAGACATGTAAACCAGCTGAAAAAGCTTATTTCACTTTCCTTAAAAAAACACTTTAAACTTCAAAAGAAATCAGTATACTTACATCATTGCCATGAAGAAATATTTTGATGTTTGGCACAACCCCAGTTGCACTGACAATGAAATCGCATCCATAAATTTTTCCATTAGTTAATTCCACATACACAGGCCATAGCACTGAAAAAGGGGAAAATTTTGCCCTGAGAATGTAATCAACAGAAGTTATTTTATTAATTGTGTCTTACAATTAGATATGAAATAACAAGAAGAAAAAAAATAATTTTTTGATGTATCTAACTGATTAGGTAGGGAAAAATGTTTTTTTTTTAAAATAATTTTTTTAAAAAAGATCAGAGGTTACCCATAACATTTCTTACCTTCACTCAGGACTAAGAAAAAAATGATATTTTGGAGCTTCCAAGTCCAATTATTAAGTTCCAAGTCCTATTATTAAATTTCTCTGGAATTTGCCTAAATCAAAGCCCTCATTTGTAGGGAGAAAACAATGTGTTCTGCCACTGCTTCCAACCCATGGGATGTTCTCTGAAGTATGCAGTTGCCAAATATCCGTTCAGATATAAATTTACAGATACACAGGAAATGCCTCAAAAGCAAAAGGAATATCAGAAGTTTGACTTCCTAGAATCTTATGGTGGAATTAACTGGCTATGATTCAGTGGGATTTATAGATAGAATTATCCATAATCCTGTCTTTGACGGATTACTTCAGTTTTGACACTAAGTGTTTCAGATTTTTTTTACTTCGGTTTTAACTCAATTATTAATATACATATTTTAATATACATAATATATTAATATACAATTTTATTGGACTGTCACAAGGATGGAATATTCTGCGTACAGGATTTAGGTGACTTTGTGGAAAACAGGACTAACCCATAACATTTTGTAATTTAATTGTAGCCCATAAATCATATTCTCAAGTACTATAAACTGCTAGAGCTTAATTTGATTTATAGAAATAAAGGATTTAGCTTCCAAATCTGTATTTGTTCTAAAAGAGGAAACAACGGGAAAACACGCCCCAGCATTGCTTTATCTTCAAAATGTAATATCTAATTAGCACTGGCACTTACCCTCATCTGGTTCTGCATTTTTGTCTTCCTTAGGAAAAGCCAAAGAAGTCTGCTGTAGTTGTATAAATTCTTGCTGTAAGTGTATTTTCTTTACTTCACATAGTATTTCAATATGTACTTTATGAGAAAACTAAAGAAAGATTGATATTTGTAAACATAATGATTAGCAATAACAATATTTTCAATAGCAGATATACCTTCACTTTAATTAAGATTACTAAACTGGGAAAAAACTCCTCGTCCTAAAGCACAATACCTTAGCTAGGTTCCCACTCTTTTTTCCTTTTTGGCACAGATCTAACCACAGCAAATCACAATTTACCTGCTTTTTCAGCAGATATCTGATGTTCCTTGAAATTCCATGACAATTTATAATATAATCAAGTTCCTCTAAGTTTAGAGGAAGAGACTTTGAAACTTATCAAGAACAGAAAAAAAAAAGTAAACTCATCTTTTCCTTCAGGATTCCAAATCCTTCCTTTTTTATATCATGAATTAAATTCCGATAATGAGTTTATGTTTAAATGCTTTAAAAAGAAAATACATCTGCTGAATATTCTAAGCATCCTTTAGTTGGTATTGTAATGCCATCTCTCTAGAATCTAAGACTACCTAACAGCTAATATATTGACAAATAAAAAACTGATTTAAAAAAGCAGCTATGAAACATGAGGATTTTTACTTAATTTAAAACACAGATTAATTTAAAACATGGAATTTTCCATCTTGCTCATGTAAACTAGTGACTTAGAATTTCATTATCTACTGTGACAGGAGACTGATGTTCCCTGTACTTCTGTACAACTCTTACCATCCTATTTTTCAGATACGAGAACATACTTATGGCAGCTAAAATCAGGACAACGCTGCTTCTTGTTAAAGCCAGGACAGACACCAGCCCTACAGAAACATTCAAGCCTCAGTCTGAGGAGCAAACTGCTAAAACTGCACCAGTGGATCGCCATCAGTCACTTTTTTCCTGGAGCAGCATATTATTCTATTTGTGTTATCATATTTTGCTGTTTAATTCTGACAGAACAGGAGAATCAATTCGAACATTTTATTTTTCTTACAATTCTGAATGTGGCGTTTCCTGTTTCACCATCCTTACCCACCTAAAACAACTTTTATACAAAATGTATAAGCAAGATTATGACCGTACCTCTTTAGTCCCTTTAAGGTGTAAGCCCTCGTGCCAGTCGGGGCCTAAGGCACTGCCCAGTCTGTCAGGTGCTGCTACAGGTCTTTCTCTTTCTTCACCTCCTAAAGGAAAGAGATGAAGAACAGGAGAGTTGGCATGCATATATAGGATTCAGAGCAAGGATTCTCAATTAAGGGAAATAAGACATGGTTGCCAAAAGGGAGAACAAAAGCGCATGATGTCCCAGAAATCAGTAATTTGCAAACTAATCAGGCTCCAAGCCAGTATTTTTACACCTCTCAACTTTATGCTTTCATTACTTTATCTCCAAAACAACCATCGCATGGTTTGGTGCCTCCATGACCCTTACAAGCCGGACAGACTGCAAGAGCGCCAGGGTTCTGGAGACCCACCAGAGACTTAGTTGCTTAATACCATTGCTGGTATTTAAATTGATGCTCCTCTGCTGGCAAATGCGCTCTGTCCCCTCCATTGCATGCAAGTACAAATTCTAACGTGCCATCATACAGAGGAAAAACGTTGGGTGCTGTTTAATGGTGTTTAGGCTGACTCTTCTACAGCTTGTTCTTCCAACCTGAAGTCTACAACCATGCTGCTCTTTTTGTTATTTTTTTGGTCATACATATGTTCATGTAGTATGTGTTCACACAGTTGTAGGTAATTTGTTATTAAGACCACAGTTTCACTGCATCTGTAATAATGTTCTGCAAGATTTCATCTGGTCCTTCCACAGCTTGTTACAGGAGAGCTCCTTCTTACGTAACACTGAATATAATTCAGAAAAACATAAAAAATATTGCAGAAAATAGAACAAGTTCTTCAGCAGATGGAATACAGGAAACAAAATGTGAACTTGGCACAGATATAAGCATAAGCACATTTTTGTTGTTTTTTTCCACAAGCACAATTTTGTAGGCAACTATTACATGCTATTGTGTGCCTACAGAAATTCTGAATGGGTTTTTATTCTGCTTTTGTACTTAACATTTTTTTAAAGAACGAAATGCCACTGATGCTAACAGTAAGCGTTATTTATGGCCCAGTAACTTAACTGATTTTAGGACTATCTTTAATCTTAAATGCTACAGTGTCAGGAAACCGAAACACCTTACCTTCCATTGTGTACTTGGTTCTTTTACATTCAATTGGAGTCTCTCGTTTTTCAGCAGTTAGCTTTGGAATGAGAAATTCAGCTGCTCCTGCATCAAAAAAAGTGTTCCCAATGGCTTTGTCTTTGATGGCCCAGATGACTTCACAGCCCTGAATTTCATACCTGCAGGCATTTAAACAATGGATGAAGTGACAGACTACCTGAAAAGGATCTGACTCTTAGCAACACAAATACAAATGTGCAGATTTCATTCCAAAACCTGGAAATAAGGGATCCAAGACTTTTAATCCTATCAAATCCATTACTGTTTCTAAATATTTACATAAGGAGCCCATTTAAAAAAAACCCCACACTGAAAACAACCAAAGCCAAAATAGTATCTTCAAGTTGTCATGTCATACTTTCTCATCCTCTGGAACAGAGGGTGAGGGGAGGCAGACCGAATTTATAAAAACACTTGGTATTTTCTGCTCCTCACAATGGAAAAAAATACGCATTTTTTGCCAGGCTGCTCACTGCTATGAATAGGCATTTGGATCTTTTTTGTACTACTTGGAACATGAACTCAGAAAGACATGCAGAGGACAATTTAGTGAAAAGGAAAATACAAATCCCTCCAACATGAAACAAGACCGTGTAATTCTGGAGTACAGGTGGTTCTGTAATCTAGCAGACTGCAGAACCCCACGGTTCAGTATCCTCCAACCTGTGACACAGGCCACAACAGACACTTCAAAAGCTCCAGCACCTTAAATTAGGCTGGGTGCAAGATAAGCTAGCTCTTTATTCCTGTTACATCTTCTGTCTCCAGACATCAAACAAGTTTTATGACTTTAATACTGCCTTTAATACTCTTAACAGAAATCTTTGCTGGTGCCAAATCACAAAACGGCTGTACATTCCTGATGCCTACATGTCACGGCTTCTTCTGAAACTTGCTGAATTGTATGCAACAGTAAGTACCAGCAGTGTGAGAAAAATTAAAGGAATTTTGCTACTAAATGCTTTAAAAGCTACAATTTTATAAGTCAACCTAATCCTAAACTCATACATACTAGATTTAACGTTAAAGATTTTATCTGCATATGCCTCTTTAAAACTTGGTTGTTTACTTACACTAATTCCAGTGCAATCCCACCATTTCCTACCACGACTATTCTCTCAGCTTGAGCCAAATTCTTCTGAAAAGCCTGCATTAAGAAAGGAAAAAAAATTAATTATGACTTGGATTGTATGTTCCCTCACACTGATGAATTATATTCTTTTCAATATTTTTTTGCTCTCTACAGTATTTTTGATTTTCTCAGACTAATGATACACATTTACTTATGCTAAGATCTGTTACAGAAGCTAATGAAACCTGTGAAGTTCTATCACGTTAAGGGATGAAGTTATTGATACGGCCTTACAAGTCTCAAACTGAGACAGGAGAAGTTAAGTAATTGCATTTAAGCCAATTCCACAGAACCCTTAACAGAATCCAGGAGACTTTTCTCTGTCCTACAGACCGTTAGCATTGCAGTATCTATCGTCCATTTTTTTCACAACTTCTGTCACTTTCACAGTAATTTGCATAACAAGGCAATGATACAGAAATTTAGGAGTTAAAAAATTCTTGATCACAAACAACGGATTTAAAAAATAATTTCCTGCAAATATGAGAACCAGTTTTATTTGGGCAAAAAGCTTCCAGAAAGAAACAAGTTTCCAAATCACAATTTAGTGGTGAGATAAATAAATAAACTAAAAAAAAAAAATATACAGCCCAGGCAGTAATTTTCAGGTCATAGTGTAACCACTGCAAGTATTTTCTTTCAAACAAACAGAGAATCATGACTATCAGATCAACTATTGCAATTACACAAAAATCTGTTCATCCATGACTCCAATTTACCTGACTCACTGTGTCAGAGAACCTGAACTGTAAAAGGCCAGGAAATCTGCAGTCCCTCAGTCCCTTCAGAGAAGGACACTGAAGCCATATCAGAGAGGACTAGTGAACTCAACTAGCTACCATTAAAAAAAACAACCAACCAAAAACCCCAGAAACAAGTATTTTCAGCCTCATTCAAAGTTCAGCATCAGTTTTGACAAATGACAGCCCGATCTGTTCCTCACAGTGGTCAACAGAGGATGCACAGGGAAGACCACCAGAAGATGACAAGCACGCAACCGTCACAGGTTCCAGACACCACTGGTGTCACTCAGGTGGCATCTTCCTCTTCAGTTTGAACAATATAAATTTATTGAGGGCTGTCTTTCTCTATTTTTTTTTAAATTCAGGTGAAGTTTTAATACCCAAACAACAATTTCACAGTTTCACTTCAGTTCGTCTGAAAAGCTAAATTTGCTCTTCATTTTCAACATCAAATTTCATTTGATGAATTACAGTTCTTAAGTACTGGACAAGCAGTGTTCACTTTCACCCTGCCTCCTCAAATTCTACAGACCTCCAGCAGTGAAACTTCACTTTCTACTTCTAAGCTGAAGTTTTAGTCTATTAAGTCATGCCTTAAGTGAAAACTTTTCCACATCTTTGATTGCAACTCTTTTCTGTACAATGAGGAGAAGCTACAGAACACCACCCAGCTTTCAGAAGCTTTTCACTGTAAGAAGGAGCCCTCTGTACTGTGTACCAGATACATCTCATCAGGAAAGTTTCTACTGGTGCCTAGCTCCAGATTGGCTCCTGCCTGGAGGATAAAAGAATACCATTTCTTCTAGATTATCATGTCAGAAACACTGTCTGTGAGCTACCTATAAACTGAATAAATTTAGTGACTGATTTATTTATTTAATGGTATTTTAAGGCTATTTCTCTGCTACCAAAAATATTCCTGTTTAAAGATATAGAACAGCAAACATCATCTTACATTTTTCCATTTCAGTCCACAATCATTTTTAGTATTTTGCATCGGAAGCAGGAATATATTATACACTTGTAAGTCCAAAACACATTTACCTGCGCACTGTCAGTATCCCGGATTCCCAAAACATATGGGTTTCCTTCGAGAATTAATTTTGGTTTTGCACCAGCACACAGGCAAAGTTTTTCATAGACGTATTCTTTCCCATCTTCAGTGAGAATTTTCTGTTACAAATTAAGAGAAAAGGAAAATTCATTGGGGACATCTAAGAGAACATGAGCATTTCCATTCCTTAGTGTCACAGCTTTTCGTATCTGCAAAATACTATGATGGGCTTTTTAAAGAGCAAGCCTTCATACTCTCATTGATCGTGTGTCATTGATTTGCGTTACACTCACCAGAGCCCTTCAGGCCTAAGTATAAGACGTTATACGACTGACAAAATGGAAAGCGTACGCAGTGAACTGAAAGAAAGATCAAATATAAACATTTCCGCTTGGTGGCACTCTGTACTCACTGTCGGTGCAAAAAGAAGACTGGGTTTTCAATGGGACAAGTGCCTGCCCCGCCTCAAGGAACAGCTGTAGACCTATGCACTACTATATATTAGCAAATAAGAATCTCATTCAAAACACTTCAACAACAGTAGACCTGTGTTAACTAGGCACAGGCTAAAATACAGTTTAGGAAGACTGCAAAATCTGTTCTTTGCTAAAGAAAACGGGGTCACACTAAACAAGCTACGTCATTCTGCAACAAGCAATATTTAAATTTTAACATTTTAGGACCTTATTTGATGTTTTCCAAACTAAAAGCTAGTGGTTTTGCACAAAGTGAGTTTTCAAAGGTTTTGGGCAAAAGATCCTCCAAATCCATACACATGAAATATTCAGGGCCACAGAGACATACCTGAACTAAAATACCATTACTGTAATGATAGAAGAATATCGTTAGATTCACAATATTAGCAGAATCTAACTGTAACCATATCTCTGTGACTTAAGATGAGCAGTTTTGGATTTGAATGTGAGTTTCTGATAAATGCTGAAGTGAAAAATAACACATCGAGTTGACACAGACACAAACCAAGGACCTGTACATGCTGTACATTGCTCGTAACTGCCAACATATTTCCTGCTAAAAACAAAGACAGAAAAGTGGGTATATCGGTTTTTTCAAATTTTTTTTTTTTGTACCACAAAGTTTTTAGTATTTTGTTCTCCACAGCAACAAACAGGAACTCAGCAATCAGAGAGATGTCCAATCAAGGGTTACAGGAGAAATTTTTAAACAACTATATTGATACATACTATCAGTTTCACTGACTGGATTTCCTGCTATTCCAATCAGGTATGCAATGCAATATCTCTAAGGTGTCAAGAATTTAAATCTAAAAGATACATTTTCTTAATTTACAATTAATTTTTGACTTACAATTTTGTCTTTGAACAATAGCGTAAGTGATAACTGAAATTAAATTTAAGACGTACTTTCTTGTAATTTCAGTAACTTACTTAACACTTTAATAACCAGAATGTTTCTGAACACAATTTCACACCTCAATCAGAATTTCATTCACCTGTTTGTTACTTTTTTAATAAATAATTTGAAAAGAGAGAAAACATTGGCTTACATGTTCATCACTTTTCAATTGTTTTACTCCAGACTGTATAACTTTTATATTGGGATACCGTTTTTCTAATTGAGAACTTGGTTGCTCTTCTACATCAAATTCCTCCAGCATTTTGGAGACCTGTAGGAAGAAGAGACATATTTAAAAATATGAATCATTTATCTCTTTTTCTAAAGTTTGTAACAAAACATATTATGTTCATTTTCAGTAAAGAAGTCACAACACAAAGCCCATATTGTCTCGAAACAAGTTATCATGTCATTACTTAAAGTTCCTTTTAATATACAGAATCTTTTCATGCTTCTTCCTGGTAAAGAGTCAAAGTAATACAGAGAATTTTAATTCTAAAGCTAGAGATTAAGCAAAAATGGAGAACTGCTATAATGTTTTATTTCATAAATGGACTATATTATTAAAGTTATCAACACTGCTTTTTAACTTACCTGATGCAGCGTTAAGACCCTGTCTTTCTGGCTTTTATAACTTTTTATAAAATAATTGAATGATGTTCTCCCATACAAGCACCTTCCTCTCAGCATTTAGTGGAAAAAAACATTTGATCAAAATATCTTGAATTATGGAAACACTTTTGTCTGGAATAAATGTTTATATTCTATACAAAAAAAATCTGGTGATATTTTCTTTAAAAAAATCTTGTTGCAGGAAGTTGGCCCTTACATCAGGAAAAGTTCTTACTCAGCTTGTGAGCACGACATACAAGACAAGTGTTTAGGCAAAACAGATTCAAGATCACCTCAAAGCACTTACTCAGTTAGCATCTCACCCATAGTCACTATCTAGCATTTCAGAGATGGGTGTGGGGGGAAAAAAAGAAAATAAAAAAAGAATAAAGAGGCAAGCCAGACCTTGAAAAACATTCAAGTACGCTATGTTGACTTTGAGCTTCAGAAGGGAGCAGCTGCATGGGAACCTCCAGGCTTTCTACAGAACGTTCAAAGAGTCTGGAACACAACTAGAAACAAAAAGCCACACCAGGCTTGCAATTTAGAGAGAAATTAAGATGCTTATGTCCAAAACTTAGCTGCTGCTGCCTTCAAATAGTACTTGGCTATGCCCTTATTCTTCAGATACTGAAACTTCTGCTGATGTGAACTACAGACTTCACATCTCTGCAGTGTGTAAATGTCTGTCCCAGGTACTCATGATGCTACTGTCAGCACTCTAAAGCTCAGAAGATATTCTTCAGTTGGCTGTTTCTCTACCAGTCTCACGCAGAGCTCTGTCTCTCAGCTACGTTCTAAGCATCCCATTAGCCCCGGACAAAAAAAATAAAAAAAAATCACAGTGCAAAAAGGAAAAGATGCTGATAGCAAATTACGGCCTCTAAATGCAAAGAACTCCTGTTCAAATTTTTATTTATTTTATTTTTCCCCTGCAGTCATTTGCAATAGGCATTCCTACACTAGGAAGAATTATCTTAAAACTGGGCTGTCAGATAAACTGCCAAGTGGTCTTTCCTTACTTATCACGAGATTAGCCCTCGCCTGCCAGATACTGTGTTTCAGAAAGAGTCATGAATGTGTCAGGCAGAAGCCCAGCCCTCAGTGTCTTAACCTTCCCCGAGAGGTAAAACCTAACTTCTTACTGGGTGGCATCTTTGCATCCCGAGTTCTATGCAATCCACTCTCCAGCTCTTTCCATGCCCTACAGTAGAGTTTAAAGTTCTCTCAGAGTGAGAAAAAGACTGGTGCTTTCCCAGATTTGAGCACCTCTGGGAAACTAGCTTAATGAACCCACCAGACAGAAATCTGAACACATGCATGGATTTTATTTTCTTTTTCAAACCAGCAGGAAGGAGGTCATTGCATCACCAGCTGCTGAACATGTAGATAAAGCTGAAGGCAATTTCACAGAAGGCTAGCCCTTTGTTAATTTCAGAAGTCTGTTTCTTCCTGAAATTCACACACACTAGTGTATATGAGAAGCACTACTAGCAAGACTTAAGTTTGTCAAGCAATTTTTACCTAAGATACCATTTCAGTGCTTAAAATGGAGCACCCACTAAAAATGTCATGAAATAAAGCTTCGTTAACTTACACATCTAATACTTCATCTGTGTAATTATCCAGTTAAACGTCTGCTTGAATGTTCTGAATACATTTACCTATTGCTAATAATTATGAGTCACCATAAAATATCTCATCATCCTACTAACACTTACACTGCAGTCACACTAATGTGAAAACAAGTTCAAAATCATAAGCATTTTCAGGATTAGGTTCCAAACCTCTGAAGAGGTGTCTCTTACCTTTTTGAAATTTGTTACAGCTTTTATAACTGGAGAAGCTGTCATTAAAAAAATGTCTTCTGATGGGAATTCCATAGCCAGCTTGTAAAGAAACAGAAATTACATGAGTGAATACAGTCATCAATAGATTTGGACTTTAAGACAATAAAATCATTGATGAAAAGTAATATGTGTTACTACATTACTTTAGCCTTGTAGAATCATATTGGATAAACACTACTTCCAAGATTATGGAAGGATATTGACTGAAATGAACCGAATTTGGAGACCGAGATTTTTAGTCATTCACACAGAAATATCTAAACATAAGACCTGCCACCACGGTATAAAGGACTACACAAAAGAGTATTCTCACAGTATTCAAAAGGGCAAGCATAGGAATAGACTACGATCATGTGATTTCTACACACTCAGTTACTGGACATACTTTTTTACCTCACAGCAGTGTCTGATTGTTCACAGATTTCATTTTGACAGAGGAAATGCTGATTCCTATTGGCTATTTCAAATGTTAGGTAGCAAACTGATAAATGAGTTATCATCTTGAGTGCTACTAAACCCCAAGTCAAAGTCAAGAGTTCCCATTTGAAACGTGCGCTGCTCTGCCACAGTAAATAAACCAGCTCTGTCAAGTGCAAACTGCTCATCTCTGAGGCACAGAAGAAACCCAGGGTTCCCTGTCACCAGCATTCTACAGATGAACAGAACAGCTGTCTAAGCTGCCAAGAAGCACATTTCATGCTGTACACGAGCACCTGGGGCTACAAAGGGACTACCACGTATTCCTTTACCTCGGATAGGAGCAATCTAACATAGCAATCTGGAGGTGAAAGTGGCCAACCTTGTTGCTGGTTTAAGGGAAATTCACATGGTCATATCACTGGCAAACACAAACAACTTTAATAAGGCGATATAAAACTTAATGTAATCTGCCCTTCATAGCATGAATCCCTAGCGTGTTTCATACCTATTGTAGCTTTATGCTTTGTACTGACAGCCGACAGGAATAAAGGTTGACAGGTAACACACTGTGCCAGAGCAGTTGTTCCCAGCTGTATCTAATAAGCCTCAGAAAAACAACAGAATGCTGTGAAAAGCACATGATAATGTTCGCTATCTTTATTAAGGGCAGACAGTGAGACTGAGTGCACTCTCAGCAACTTCACAGATAATACAAGTTGAGAGGTACAGTCAGGTAGAGGGAAGGGATGCCATCCAGAGGAATCGTGAAAGGCTTCAGGAATGGGCCCACAGAAGCCTCATGAAGCTCAACAGGGCCAAGTGCAAGGTTCTGCACTTAGGCTTGGAAATCTATAGTATCAGTATAGACTGGGGGACTAGCAGATTCAGAGCAGCCCTCAGAGGACTTGGGAGTGCTGGCTGACGAAAATTTAGGTAAAGGCTGTCAACACACACTTGCAGCCCAGAAAGCCAGTTGTATCCTGGGGTACATAAAAGAAGTGTGGCCACCACTTCAAGGGACACTATTGTAAGTACTGCATCCAGCTCTGGGACCCCCAGCACAAGACGGACATAGACCGGTCTGAGCAGCTCCAGAGTAAGGGTGTAGTCAATGGTCAGAGCACTGGAGCACTCGCCTGTGAGGACAGGCGGAGGGAGTTGGGGCTGCTCTGCCGGGAGAAGGATCCAGTGAGGTGTCACAGCAGTCTTTTGATATATAAAGAGGTCTTACAAGAAAGACAGAGAGATATTTTTTTTTTTACCAGGGCCTGTAGTGACAGGAAAGCGATAACTGTTTTAAATTGAGAGCAGATTTAGGTTAGGTAAGTAAGAATTTCTTTACTGTGAGGATGGTTAGGCACTGGACCAGGCTGCCCAGAGAAGCTGTGTATCCCTCATCCCTAGGAGTGTCCAAGGCCACGCTGGACAGGGCTTGGAGCAGTCTGGTCTAGTGAGAGGTGTCCCTGCCCATGGCAGGGGAGTTGGAACTCTATGATCTTTGAGGTCCCTTCCAAGGCAAGCCGTTCTACGACTCTACGAAATACCAGAGTGGTCCCCAGCGCTGAGCTGGGTTTCACTCGGCGCTGGACCGACCCAGCTCAAGGCGCAACTGCAGCCGCGGAGGGCCCGGACGCCTCATTCCCCACCTACAGGTCCCACGCACACAGGTGACGGTAACGCCCCGGGACCGGTGAGCCTCTTCCGGGAGTCCAAGGGTACAGGCACCAGCCTTCCCGGCTGAAACGACTCCG